CAATTTGTAGTTCTGTTTTGGAGCAGTAAAAAGTTATATATGGATTTTCAGTTGTGCGAGGGGTTGGCCCTGACTCCTAAATTGTTCAAAGCTCAATGGCCAGGTGCAGTGGCTCACGCCTATAATCCTAGCACTCTGGGAAGCCAAGGTGGGAGGTTCTTTTGAGGTCAGAAGGTCGAGACCAGCCTTAGCAAGAGAAAGACCCCATCTCTCCTAAAAGTAGAAAAATAAGCTGAGTGTTATGGTGGACACTTGGAGAGTTGCGATGAGCTATGATCACTGGAGGCTGAGGCAGAGTTACCAGCTACTCAGTAGGCTGAGGCAGGGTCACCAGCCACTGTTCACCTAAATGGCCATCTCACGCAGGGTGCTGCTGGTCAGGCCCTCACCAGGCTGGCTGAGCCCACGTGCTGACATCTGGAGATTATTTATTCACTTCTATGGTCTGCTGTCATAGATACACTGGGGAACTGGACTCCATGGTACTGGTCAAGGACCCAGAGCACTCTGTGCACCCAGTGAAATGTTCACTAAGTATAAATTTAGTCTAGAATACAATTCTTTGAGGATATAACCACTTTCAGATAGGAGGATATTGTGTAACCTTGTAAGCTGTGAGTAGGAATCTGTTTAACATATCCTATGATGAGTAATAACATTGCCGATGTGACTTTTACTGTGAGGGTAAAAGTAACAAAGAAAAACAGGAGGGCAGAGGAGCTCTTTGAGGAGACACCCTTGCTATTCTCTAGAATTTCTGGCTTTTCTGTAAATAATAGTGAAACTGTTTTTTTTTTTTTTTTTTTTTTTTAGCGACAGAGCCTCAAGCTGTCTATCTGGGTAGAGTGCTGTGGCATCACAGCTCACAGCAACCTCCAACTCCTGGGCTCAAGCGAGTCTCCTGCCTCCACTTCCCAAGTAGCTGGGACTACAGGTGCCCACCACAGTGCCCGGCCACTTTTTGGTTGCAGCCGTCATTTTTGTTTGGCAGGCCTGGGCTAGATTCGAACCTGCCAGCTCAGGTGTATGTGGTTGGCGCCTTAGCCGCTTGAGCCACAGGCACCGAGCCTAGGAAGTGTATTTTAACACCACATTAATTGTATTCTTACACACTTGCAGTGAAACATCTGAAAATAAAATGAAGAAAGCACTTGCCTTCACAAAGGCATAAAAAAATTACAAACACAGTAAGGAGGAAGTAAAAACATGCATTGTGTAAGATACAAAATTTGTTGAAAATAACTAAAGATGATCTATATACTTAAAAAAAAAGAAAAAACTCATATGATTAGATCAGCAGACCTGACACTGGTGACAGTCACCCTGTATCTGGCCAGTAGATTCAGTGCAATAACTTCAAAAATCACAACACAGATGTAAACCTGGATGAATCTGACTTGATCATCCCCAGAGGTCCCAGCTAGGGTTCCATTCAACTGTGAAAGCCTTTGACTCCACACCCAACTCAGCCCTCTTCTTCAGCAAACAATGGAGCTGGAGCTGGGACCCTTGATCACTCCCCTACTTTGATATTTGGAAGGGCTGCAGCTCCCTGTGCCTTGTCTCTTCTGGACCAATGTTTCTAGGGGAAGGGAGGAAAGTTCTATCTTATGTGAATTTGGGGTTGAATAGAAAAAAAATGCTTTCAATAGAAAGGTAGGGGGTTTGCTGCTAACTGCCAAATCTCTGCAATCAAAACAGGGAGCCTGACCCAGGTTTAGATAGCAGTGTGGATGATCAGAGGAGAGAAGGGCTGTAAGGGCAGCTGGAGTCCCCACAGGGCTGTATGGAGGACACAGGGTGGACAGGCCAGAACCCCTCCCCTGAGCATGTCCAGCCCCAGCTGAGCTAGGTGGTGCCACGGGGCTGGGCTGACCCCAGCTGAATCTCACCTTGTCCCCAAGTCACCTCCTGGAGGTCACCACACGTGCTAAGCAGCTGCCCCAAATCCTGATTTATTACCTGAGCCCCTGACCCATACAACAACCTGACTACACATCACTCCTGGCTCAAATTCTTAAATTACAGAAAATAGCACAGTGGGCCTGAACTGTTTTGAATCTCAGATCCCCTTTGGGTTGCCATGTCCTTTCAGATCCTCAGACTCCCCCGACTCTTCCCTGAGGGCCCTGACCCAGCTCTTCCCACATTGCCCATCACTGCTGCTGCTTTTCATGCTGAGAGCACCTCCAGGGACACCTGTTCAGGAGGCTCCTCCACCTCTGGTGACAGCACAGCTGATCACCATCTTCTAATATCTCATTAATTATCTGCAGAGCACCTACCACCAGAGGGTTTTTTCCTATCGTTATTTGTATTAAGTGATTTATTTCTGGTAATAATGTTCCAAATTCATAAGAAATGCTGTTTTACTGCCAGAAGTCACACATGAAACACAGTGCTAGGAACACAGGGGAGTATTTGTGTCTGGAAGAAATAAGTTCCAAGTATGATGGATGATGCTTTCCAAATCTCCAGCCATTCCATGGAGGCCCAGGCTAGTTCTCAATTTTTATTCCACTGTCACTGTCCTGCTGGATTGGCTTTCGTTATTGTTGACATAGATGTCAGAGTGGCTGCTGCAGCTCCAGCTGTCACATCCATATCCAGCAGGAAAAGTGCTGCACAAATGCAGTCTGTTACTTTTCTTCACTGGAGCATAAAGCCCCAGAGAGTCATTCCAGCCCCTTAGCTCTGACATCCCACAGGTCAGCACGCCCTTCCTTCTCTCATAAACCAAGGATCAGAGAAGGGAATTTCTATACCACATGGAGTTACAGAAACCACACCTGCCTGGCTCCTGACACATAGCATATGACCCACTCTGGGACGGTCTACACAGGGCAGGTGGGTCACACTAGCACATAGTGAGGCTGGACTCTCTGGTCCCCAATCTTGCAGATGGCAGGTGTGTGGGGGAACCTGGGGGAGGGAAGCTCCTGCTCTGTGTGTCCTCTCCCAGCAGGGGGCGGCAGAGCTGCAGCCTGGAGAAGCAGCTGGAGCTGCCCAGTGGGGCTTGTCAGTGCAGCAACAAATCCCCCTAGATTAAGGGACCACTGTCTACTTTCCCTCCAGACCTCCTGCCCTTTGCAGAGACAGTGACTCTGGGACCCTCACGGTGAACACCAGGCCGAAGGCTGCGTCCTCAGTCAGGTGGGTTTCTGGTGCTTTTTCCAAGTTTACATAAAACATTGATGAGAAATAAAAATAAAGAGCAGAGATGATGTCATTGGACCAAGACTGTCTGGGCACCTGTCACTGCCAGCAAACATGAAGAGCAGGGATAGATCCACCAATCTTTGTTTGTCAGAAGGCTAGGGATTCTGGAGAGCAGTAAGAGTAGTGTTGCTGAGACTGATCCATTTTTCCATTTCCAAACTCACAGGTTTTTCTTTTCTTTTCTTTTTTTTTCTCTTTTTTGAGGCAGAATCTCACTATGTCGCCCTAGGTAGAATACCATAGCGTCACAACCCACAGATCTCAAACTCTTGGGCTTAAGCGATTCTCTTGCTTCAGCCTCCCAAGTAGCTGGGACCACAGGCGCCCACCATCATGCCTGGCTATTTTTTGTTGCAGTTGTCATTGTTGTTTAGCTGGCCTGGGTCAGGTTCGAAGCTGCCACCCTTGTTACATGGGGCCGGCGCCATAACCACTGTGCTACAGGTGCCTAGCCCAAACTCAGTTTTATACAGAAAAGTTAAAAGTAAGAGCCGTACTAACCCTTATCTTGAGCAACAGTAATTAACACTTGTCTTAAACAACAGTGATCATCATAACCCACAACCCATAACAAGCAATAATCAGCATAGCCCATGACACACATAACAACATTCCAATGTAAAACTTAATCATGGGCGGTGCCTGTGGCTCAAAGCAGTAGGGCGCTGGCCCCATATGCCGGAG